AATCTAAATACAGAACAAGACTGACTGATGAACATTTAAATGACTCTATTAGAGTGAACCTAAGTGGGGTACACTCCAGCATACACCTCTATGGTGGACTCCATGCAGTGCCAGTCATCTCACTAACTGTAAAAAATAGTGAATGCACTTATTTTACACATGTGCCATAAGATGCTTGTAAGGTGGAGATTAAGGACATTTATGTGAATTTTCAGTGAAGTACTTGTGGGCCATAATAATATTTGAGAAATTGTCGTTTTATCGGACCTTGATGTCAGATTTTTGATAAGCTTTGGGTTGTGCAATTTCACACGTGTACAAAAGTATAGCTTAATTCAACTTGGCCACTTTCATTTTTTCAAAGTAGCTCTCAGATGAAGAAAGGTTGGAGACCCCTGGTCTAAGGTGCTCCCATATGACACTGTCTCATTATTTTCCTAACTGTCTGTGCACAAAGAAATATTTGTGTCGGACACACACAAACACACACAGAGCAGAGCTGAGCAGAGCACAAACACCTCATGTGCCTTAGTGTCCGGACATCTCCTTCATAAAACGAGTAATAGGGGGATTAATCGGGCAGTTCGACGTGTGTAGAGGTGTGTGTGGTTAAAACGTAGCAGCCTGCGGTCGCTCTTTAGCTGTTCTAATGAAAGTAAACACAGTGAAGGCGTTGCGTAAAAGGCACATCTAACTTTTAAAACCATTGCTTATTTTAACCAACAGTAGTTGGTTAAAAATAAGCAATGGTTTTAAAAGTTAGATGTTTATTTATTACTTTGAGCTGTTCTTAACCGTTATTCAATTACATTTAGCCACATATTTCCAACTGTTTATTAATTACCTTAACCCTAAAATTCCCAACAGTTTAGCCGCTACTCTAAATTAAGCTAACTATTCCAACTGTTTTTTCCTTACGTGCATTTACTGTAGCAACCTTGTTCTATTACTTTTAGCTAACTATTTCCATGGTTTATCAATTAGTTCTGGGTAACTTCACTAAACCTTTTATCCATTACTTTTAGCCAACTATTCTCAACCATTTAAACATGCTACTTTAAGCAAACTATTCCAATTGTTTATCAATTACTTTTAGCTCACCTTTCCTATATGTTCAACCATACAGTATGGCTACGCTTATGCGTTGGTGTGTTTGTGAATATGAATAGTATACTAAAATAGGGGATAAAGGACCGACAACGCCACCTGGGGGATGGCACCACAGGATATAGACACAAAAAGACAATTCAGGACACAGGTTCGTTAACTAAGGGGCAGAGACGTGTTTCAAAGTAAAGTCATTTTAATTTAAATGTAATCAAAAGAAAAAGGAAACTCAGGAAATGTTGCAGTAAGGTAAGATAAAATCATGGGTTATAAACACAAGAACTATTCAGTTTAAAAATTATCTTTATTAAATGTTACAAATATTTAACTAAAATGCAACATTAAAAGTCTATACAAGAACAGCAAATCAAAACTAAGGTGGGCTGAGGCCAGTTAATGGGGTGGCAGGCTACTTCATGTGACACTAGGGTGCAACCAAATACTCACCAGGTGCAGTCACAGCAAACCACACACAGCAAACAGGCCACTCACGCGTGCTCTTCACCACAATAAACAGTGAGGGTGACTAGCCCCCCCAATGACCGGCACTCAGCTTTACTAAAATAAAAACAAACTGAAACAAGGTTAAAAAAGGATCCCAGTTGGTAATGATAAACAGGTAAAGTATAAGCGTATGACAAATGCAAAACTAATCAAAATACAAAATCAACCAAAACTTGACAAAAAAAACAGCACTAAGTCAATGAGAATAAAACAAAACAGCGGCAGGTGAACCTATAAGCAATAGTTAAATAAAGATTATAAATGGCTCTCCATGCGGCATCCAAACAATTCAGGTTCTGCCCTACTCACCACAGGAAGAGGTTTTAGCACCTTGCTGAGCTTCAGTAATCTGCAAGGAAGCAGCAAGTAATACAATACTAGAAGAAATGAGACAACGTATCCTACATTTTAGTATTGCAGCCTACTTGTACCACAAACCATGAAAGGAGAGCCAAGGGGCCAAGCGTCTTTGGGTTCAAGAAAAGCGTTAGAGAAATCAAATATATTATTAAGGGGAAGAACATAGGGAACCAGGTGCCTTGTATACCCTGCTCTAATGAGGGGAGTGTTTGGGGGAGGAGTCAGGCCCTGAGCTGCCTTCAGGAGCACTACTCACTACACTTAGCTAACAATTCCATTTGTTTATCAATTACTTTTAGCCAAGCATTAAGGTCAGTGTTTCTCAAACCTTTTCATACCAAGGACCACTTAACCAATAAAAAAACACTCGCGGACCACCTAACTCCACAAATATCCAAAATCACATCGTTTTTCTAGAACAGATTACAAATCGCCTGAAAACGGTACAAACAAGTGGCAACATGTGTGATGATGAAGGTGTTGCGCTGGGCTATGTCATGCAATATAATTGAAACTTAAGCTTGCTCCATTGCGGAGATATTCCCGCGAGAGTGCGGAAAACTTAAATGTATTTATTTATTTCAAATGTGAAATTTGACCAATATACTCACGGACCACTAGGGGGCGCTCACGGACCACCAGTGGTCCACGGACCACACTTTGAGAAGCACTGATTAGGTCTATCCAGCTAACTACTACCCAACAGCATCTACTGGAACTGTCATTACACTAAATGTCAACTCTTATCACTTGCTGATTAGTTTTCAAACACTCTAAATAGGTCTCAATAAAAGTTCAGCTGTTACAGCTTACACAATGTATTTATGTTGGCAATAAGTCAAGCGTCTCGACAATCTTAACACATCTAATGGCAACTACAAAATACCCACATACCCCTGGCTGGATGATACTGGTATGAGAGGTATGCAACAAATAAATGTATACATCCAAGTACGCTATAAACCATTTAGCAATATACTTATTTATTAAACATCTTTAATTTGCATCACTTTTAAATAAAGTTAAACTACTGGGCAACATGTAACTGCATTAGTTACATTTAGTTTTCCATTGAATTTGTCCGTAACTGCTTGAGTCCACTTTTTGTGGAGTTTTTTAATCATCGAAACAGTTTCAGTTTTATCTGCTGACATCGAAAGATGGTTCTGAGAAATATCATGGACATGAATCTGGTGCTCAAAGCATTTCAATTGCATTAATTTCTAAATAAAGATACCACTGTCTGTTCCTTTAACTAAAAGAAAGAGATAGATGTTTTGGGGGCGTTTGATTGACCTGATGCTTTGAGAATGTAGTTTGGTCGGCTAGGATAGGGAGGGTGCGTTCTCAATAGTATTTCAGACATAGCAGATGAGTGACGCTGGATGGCCAGCTGTGGGTTTTGTTTTTTGCCATGCATCACTAGAGACTGGTCAGATCTGGGCCAGGCCACTGGAGCGGCGGTCACAAAGTATGAACATAAAATCCTTAAAGGGTCAATTCACCGAAATGACAAAAGAAACTAAACATTTCTGCCTTCTCCACTTAATCTCGATATGGAGATGTGCCAAATGTTTATGTGGCTCCGGTCTGACAATCTCTGTCTCCACCTCAAAGCAATAGTTACTTTGTTTTGATAGTAGTTCCAGTGAAACATGTTCCTTTTGAGATCTTCTGTATTATCAAAATAATAGGAGCTTTCTTTCTCTAAAGACATTTTGCTGTTGATTATTTTTAAAGCTGAGACAACGAGTCGCTACATTTTCAATCAACTTATTAATTCATTAGTTAAGGTTAGGATAAAATAAAGTAATTTGTATAGCATAAATGCCAAGCAAAATTGTTTTCATGTAATGTGACAAAAACTGAATACCTTTTGGTTCCTGACTGTGGACACGAAAAAGCTGTTTTAAGATATCAACTAAACACTTTTATGAAACTGTCCTTGCCAGTATTGAACACTTATTCCTCCATATTTCTTTTAGACCAAACACGGCTAATTGTAAACAATAAAATAAGCATTATTTGACACTGTACCGTATAGTACATGCAACTTTTCCATGTAAGCTTAACCAGAAAGATGTATATGATATGGCAATTGTTTTTCATTCTTTGCTGACCCTTTAACACACAAGTCAAAGCAATAAAATATAGAGCTCTGAGCTTGTAGCTGTAGTACATATTATATGACAGTGATTTTCTTCCACTCAGTGAGAGTACAATCCAAACACTCACTGTGCTGCTGCCAACTTCCTAAGCAGAATTGTAGTTTTACTTCGTTAATAAAGCCACGCCATATAGTCCTTACTTCGAGTCTTGTCGGGATGTCTGTTCAGCAAAAAATTATAAGGTGGTTTGAAAAGTAGACCCTATTAAAGTTTCATAGTCTAGTCTGGGCAGAGTGAATACCCAGATGGTGAGCTTAGCTGCTGGTTTTTTTTTTATGTCCATCTCAGCACTTAGGATGCAAAGGCTTTCAGTGCCAAATACTTTGGGCAGCTGGATGTGATGAAGTGGATAAAAAGCCCTGTTAATTGAACTGGATCAATTGGATCTCCCTGGCCAAGGAGGAGTTTCCTAAACTTAAACCTTTGTAATACAGTATGGACTACTGACCCCTTTTTGATGTCAGTGATTGTCCCTTCAGGAATCTCTGATCTGCTCTGGGCAAGGATAAATGAAAGCTATAGTCAACATTCACCCTTAGCGGGTAAAGTTAGCCTATATTTTAAAAAACAATTATTCCTTCATGTGTCAGCAATACACCTGCCCAAGGGGGACCACTTACTGTCATTGCAACATTGAAGGAACCCTCTTGGGGTAAAAAAAAGTGCCTTATGGTAAGGAGATGTTTGGACATGGAGGAAAGGCATCGATGGATTCATGTATTGATTGATGGGTGAATGGATACTCGTCAAGGAGGCTGGCAAGGGTGGATGGCTGGATGTAATGGAGAGGAGAGGAGGGTGGGGAAGGCTAAATGAATAATGAAGATGTGGAGGACTGATGAGACGTGCAATGTTGCGTACCTTTTCCTCCTCATGCTGCTGCGGCTGCTGACAGGGCTGCGGTCGGCTGACGGAGTGTGTGAACCCCGGTGCCTTCACCCGCCATCACCGCCTCCTTGGATTGGGTACAGCGTGGACTTCAATGCCTCTCCTCGTCCAGCTCCCTCTCTTCTAATCACAGTGACACCTTGGATGTGTTACGTCCCTGCTAGTCCTCATCCCCACAGGCAACAAACCTGCAGGCTTTTAGTTCTCCTCCTGCTGCGACTCCTCCTCTCCCCTGTCTCCTGCTCCTTGTGTCCGTCACAGATTCCCTCTACCTCAGTACGTTATTTTGGTTTACCCACTGTTGTTTCCTGGTCTCATTCTAGTTTATCTCACTCACAGGATAGGTTATTAAATGTAAACATGTAAGAGTAAAGCACCACAGCATCCACGCATTCCCAAGCCCTAAGGAGGAGAGAGCAGCGGAAGCCGAGCAGCGGGAGTGCGGCTGGTCATTCACGATGCTCGGCAGGCTGATGTACAGTATCAGCGCAGTGAAAGCAATGGAGAAAAATGAAAAAAAATATATCCTCTCTCGCATGTGAGTCCAATAAAGCTACAGAGAAAACATGTTCCTCGTACTCAAGGTACAAATAAAAACAACTAGTAATTTACTTTAAACCCCTGCTTGGGTTTTTGCCAGTCCGCTGCTTTGTGTTGTTTTTCCAGAGTCTTCACTCCGCTCCGTCCTGAACCTGGTCGTATTTCCTAGCCGGGCAAGGGAGCTGCTGGCCCGGGCAGGCAGGCTGTCAGACACCGCTCTACTCTGACAGAACTCTACCACGTCACTGCAATATTAGGGGAGCATCTCACGTGACCCTGTTAGACGCTCATGCTGCGTTCAAGGGGTGTGGGTGAAGCTTACACTCTCCAAACAGAAACACAATCACGGACACACTAACAAACACATTATAAATACTATACTGATATCCTATTATATTCTTGTTTAAAGCTAGGAGTATAGGAGCAATTTAGTCAAAAATGAAATAAGATATTGAGACATCAAATTAATGGACTTGAAGATTTTGAAGATACTCAGTAAACATTTGATAAATACAATTGTGTTTTTATATATTTTCAATGTTATTTTTGATTGTTTACTATATTTTGTGGAAAGAAAATAAATTCCCTCTTTTTTCGCTTCCAAATTTGTATGCAAAAAAACTAAACCAAAACGTATCTTGCATAGGTCTTAAAAGGGAATAAAAAAGCCATAAGAGAGAGTGTTACATCAGCAGATGGTTTTGGTATGAAATGTTTAAAAGCAATTTGTTGTGTTTACATACTTCTTGCCACTTCTTTTAATGTATTCAATAGAAAAATGTATGCCCAAGTTGATGTCTTATTTAGGACATGCATACATTCCTCTGTTACTACTTAAAAGGAAATTATAAAGCCTCATTGCGCAGAGTGTCTCTACTCTTGGTCCATAAAACAAACGATCAATACAATTCTTATGGATCCATCACAATGTCTGCAAATAGCATACTTTTATTATTGATTTGTGATGAAAAGGAGCATCAAGATAGTGTATGGGTCGGTCGCTCATCCCTAACATCCTATTGCAGATTAGTGATTACACATAATATTGTCAGAATTCAGCAGAGTAGTGTAGCTATGAGGATCTCTTCTAGAAATAGAAAATAAGACAATTTCAAAGCAGTGTGTGGCACCTGAGAGCTAATATGAATTAACTAATTATTCCCATATTTCCCTTATTCACGTGAATGCAGCATCTCTCTCTCCTCTCCCTCTCCTCCCAAGCCAGCCACCCTGCTCCCCCTCTGTGGGCGGAATAAAGGGGATTTAACTCCGTAAGAGCATGGTGGCCAGTGGTTGTCTGGTAACAGCTGGATTGGCTACCATTGTGCTCTTTGTTTAACCCTGCCTGGCTGCAATGTTTCTCATATGGACAGGACCATTTTAAAGCACATTGTTTCCCTGTTTGTTACATTAGTAATGCATCATTATGCACACATTCATACCAACTATATTTAGCATGCTTTCATATCTAGAATGATTGCAAAAAACAAACACTCCAGGTCCTTGACAGCACTGACTCTCTATCTCGTCTTCAGCATAATGAGGAAACTATACCTGTCTCATTAAGGACTTAAAGACAATGCAAACCCTTCATCAGCCTTCAGTCATGTTCACACGCAACTCCAGAGCACTGTTTCTTGATAAGCAATGAAAGCAGCTTGTCTCTTTCCTTCTCTCAGAAGAATTGGAGCAGATGGAATTATGGCTCATGCAAAAGCAGCTCACTTCAGGGAAAGTAAGCCGATGGGAGAGCAGCCCCTTGCAGCACTGTAAATATTGTAAGGTAGCACCACAGCATAGTGACTGAATAATTAATAGGAGCTGTGTCTTTGACAGATATACTTTGGAGGCTATTAGCTCTGCTACCTGGCCAGTGAGAGCGCATTTGTCAAAAGAAAGTAATGCCGGGGTGATGATTGATTTCCTGAGGCTACCAGGTTAGAGGCAGCATGCCTCTGAACATTAATATCAGGTGGCATCTATTAGATAGGTGACTTTCTCAACTTGTCTGGCCCAGTTGCCTCTGCAAAGACCAGCATATCAAAATCTAAATTGTCATCATTAATTGCTGCTTGGGGAGTATCTCGGAACACTACGTCTGCCTCTCCTGCTGTTACTCCGAGAAACCAAGTCTGCTGTACAAACACAGTACATGGATGTCCTCCTGTGCAGTAGACAAAAGGCAACATTCCCCCATAGACTGCATGTCAGAAGTGAAGGTAAATACCATGACGCCAACCATTGCTTTTTGGACTACAACACATTAAAGTCATAGACCTTTTCAAGTGGCAAACAAATTGACAATTGTCTTTAATGAACTGAATCACTTATTTCGATCAAAGAACGACCAAAGAATGGTGTGTCGTAGTGACGTCTCAATCACAAGCTAGCCATGTTCTAAATAATACACGTTACTGTCTATTTGAACCAAAATGGGATAAGAAGACATGAAACTAGCAATTGAGACTATAAACATGTAAGAAAATGTTTAGAGAATCAGTGAGGAAAAGGATAATTTTTTCATAGACTTCTATACAAGCGGATTTCATTGTGCAACTATAATGTAATCTTTATTCCATCTATTGGAAAGTATGCAAGTTTAAGCAACGTCCACATTGACTTAACTTTTTCAGACCCCAAAGCACACAAACTTATACGTCATAACTTCTTCAATGTTTCTTAAATGTGATGACTTGGCAATTTTTTTTTATAAAGAGGATTGTACCTTCTGTAATGGGATCTCCTTTTATTTCATGAAATACAAACAGCCATGCCTTGAAGTGAAAGTCAATAAAAGCATGTGTGTGCTTTGGCAAGAAGTGAGGTGCTATTCGCAATATGTGCCTGCTAGGGAAAATCGAATAAAGAAAGAGACTGTATTTATTTTAGTTTTATTTAAAAAACCTTCTCAAAGGGGAAAACACATGAAAGTCACCATATTTTTTTCTGTCAAAGGTAATACGTTCATATACAAATGATCCAGCATTTGCATTGCAACCTGCACCTTCCTCATTTGAATAATTTCTAATTTCTATGCTTTCAGTCATGGTCTATTCGCTCTATTGGCACATTCTGAAACAGACATGCCAACTGACATGGCAAATTAAGCTGTTATATATCCCCATTGTGAGTTTCTCCATTCCCAAAGTATTTTTTCTTTGTTTTAATTATTTCTAAAGCGTTATTTCCTCAGGTTGCTCTGTACGTTACTTTCGCTTTCTCTTTGAGATACTGCTGGAGGAAGGAAAGGTTGGTTTTCTCAACGCTACGAAAATACAGTCTCAGATGACATGCAAGCTGTTATTGCTTCTCTTAAAGAGTGCGGTCGCAATATCCTGCGGCAGAGCCTCAAGAGCATGCAGGGATGTCTCTGTGCATATCTTTGCCTTCACTCAGACTCAGGCCTCCGTTCACGGTCAACTCTGATATATCACGGGACATCTTATTAAGCATTAATTCACTGAATTTTAAATTATCTTTGGAACTAATTATATCCTAAAATTATACAAGTTTAAATGTGACTTACAATTCAAATCATTAGAGACGTGGGAAAAAAATATATTTTGCTGATAGCGACTACCTTTGCAAATGCAATCAACACGCTTTAATTATGTGTGTGCATGTTGCGATTAAATAGAAACATTTGCATGAATCTCACATACTGCATGCACAGGAGGCCTTATTACAAAATGTCCTCCAAATGTCATGAGAGATGCATTGGACCACATTAATGAAAAAGTGAGAATGCATGCGACTCAAACAGTTGGCAGGCAGTTTGGGCAGTAGCATACCTGTCATAATGGTTTGTCTGGATTCCTGCAGATGGGCCACAAGCAGTGCTGCGTTTACTGTCAATACACAGCCAACACACATGGTCTGTTTCTTCACAAGAAAGAGAAATCTGATTTCAGTCTGTATACTGGCAACACATTTTAATTTCATGCCTAAATCCATCTCAACCCTATCCACACACGTCTGGAATCTGGATACACGACAAGACTTGTATAGCCTGGGCTTAAGGAGCTGTATGCCCATAACTGCCATTTATAGACGTGGTCAGAAAGTCTTAGGCCCTAGCCACACAGTGACGAAACAGGTCGTATCCGCTACAGTTCTCTATCTTAGAGATGGTTCGGCCACACGAGGCCGACAGGGAAATGCGAATAACGATAACTATAACGAGAGAAGACCTCTGACCGGCACTTTTATTTTCTTTTTTTGGAAGAGGCGGAGAGCTGGGTGTTTTTCATCTGCTGGTGGACTACCGGGGAGATTTACAGCAGGAGCACACGCTTGTCTCGGGAGGGAGGAAAAGAGAAACAGCCAGAGCCCTGCCTCTCCCCACCTCTTCCACCACGGAGAATAAACAGAAGGGCAACCATGCTCGGGAAGTCTTCTTCGCTGCTTTTGGTGTATTTTGTGGCGGAAGTACAGCGCCACTTACAGGCCAGGCATATGTACTACAGTGTATCCAGCGGGTGGAGAGGTCTCGTGTGGAAGGACACATTTCCGGTGCCTATTGCGTGTGGATGGAAGACTTTTTTTATATCGAATTTGGTTCCTTTTTGTTTCCGTTTCCATGTGGCTCCAGCCTTAGATGCAGGCACTATGTACAAATGAGCCAGTGGCGTAACTATCAACGGTGTAGCCGGTGCAACGCAGGTTTAATCAACCTGTACTGTACTGTAGCTAGCAGCAGCAAGTTCGGCAGCATTATAAAACATGTAATGGCTTGCATTTATAATGTACAGCAAACCAAAGCACAAGAGCAGCGCTCAAAAGAGGAAGGACAAGAGAGAACAAGGAGATGTAACAGCTAAACTGACAAAATTAGACTTTTTTTTGTTATACATCGTCCTCGAAATCGAGCGCTAACGTTACCAATGTTGACGTGCTCACCTGCCTCACCACCATCATCACCATCATTGCCATCTAGCTCCACAAGTGAAGCTGTATCCGTGGCCGTAGCTGTGCAACCTTTTTCTCCAGCCAGCCAGGAGCAGAGGCTGGATTTGGCTGTGCCCGGCGGTGGTCCAACAGTTCCCCCAAGGGCCCAAACCGATAGGGGACTCTATGGCGCAGAGATCAAAAGCTATATTATAGCAACCGGTCTATGTAGGCCTACTGGCCCATGCCCAGAGACAAACATCAAGGAAACAGGTGTAATCCTCTTGTTAGTTCGCTGTGCCGTTGTCAGGCTGTGGTGGTCTGAGGCCAGGGCAGGCTG